TTTTTTTGGTGTTAGTTACAAAAATTTAGTTATTTTTTGAATGAGTAGAATTGTTTTGTCTGTAACAATTGTTTTAGGCTTAGGATATAGAAAATATCAAAAAACTGCTTTCTTATTTATTTTCTTTTTTTTTTAAGAGTAATTTTTGAAATGGGAAATACTTTTTTTATATAAATTTTATATAACTAAAACTAAGTTAACTTGAAGCTGACAGTTCAGTGAATTGGATCTTGTTGAACACGGTATGTTCAAAATTTTGTCAAAACTATTAAATAAACTGGTTTTGAAAAGCCTTAAACTATTCCATATCTTTGTAGGTAATTTTATTGAATAAACTGCAGTAAAAGAGAAAAAAAAAATAAAAGAGAATGAAAAGCATCAAATAATTTTAAGCCGAGTTACATTGCTTACTTTTCTTTGGTAATAGCTGAAATTAGTGGGTCAATCAACCGTCTAAAAAAAAAGCGTCGAAACTTTAGCTCTACCAGACAGAGAAATAATTCTTCAATTACTGTTCAAACCGTAGACAGTTTGATCTAATGAAGATTAGTACAAATCACTATGTTACTTTTTATAGTTCTCCGGAATCCAAATGTTAGCTAAGCGGAATTAAAGGTCTAATATCTATAGGATAAATAAAATTTGTAGTCTTTGCTTTCCTGTTTTCCTTATCATAGATTGGACTCCTTTCCCTTGTCGGTCGTTTATGATGCTGTGTTGGGTGGTGATAATAAGGATGGAAGACTGCAAAATAATTTTACTTACTGGTAAAAAGTAACCATAAAGCTGCGGTTTCCTAAGAAATTTCGTACGTTATTATCTTATGTTGTGTCAACCATTTAGCAGGAAGAAGGTTGAAAGCTTCTTCCTTGAGCATTTGGAAATATCTTAGAGATTTCTGGTAAACTACAGTAGTTTAGTTTATAGGGACAAAAAGTTTTTTTTGCTTCGCAGTTTTTTTTGATTATTTGCTAACAAATGATGAATTCACTGTAGCTAAAAGCAGGACGATACTTGTCGCGTAGAGACGGCTTTTCCAAAATAAAACTGCATTAAGCAAAGTTTAGGCTTAATTGATTAATCACTTGCAGATATTTTATTCATAACTTGTAACTGTATATATCGTTACATCTATTCACCTGACGTTATTTATATTGTAAGTTTGTTCCAAACAAATACCACTGTGCTAATATTTTCAGTTTTGCAGCAGAGTGCTTGAGAGTAAAAATTTATACGAAGTTTTTTTGACCACAAGGTTCAATTTGTTTTGGAGGATGCCGTTTACGGCTGCAGAGTTGCCAAAATTCACCACTCATCCAGCAAAGTTTATTCCAACCGTTTTTGGCGGTCATGTACTCGTCTACGAAAGCCGTTCACATCCTGGTCATCGGCGTGAGTTTGCCTTCAAAACACGATTTACAAACCAGTCTGGTGTCAGCTCATGCTACTACAGATGTATGTCATGTCGTTCTATGAAAAGCAAAGTACCGCTTGGCCCGGACGGTAAACCTCCGCAAATTCCCTGTATTGCAGTCAAAAATGGATTCATTGTTAATGATCCAGATTTTCCGGAAGCCAATGACCACTTCTGTATCCCACCAACGATCGAAGAATCTAAACAGCGAGAAGCTAACGGATTTGCTAAAGCAATTGTTAAGGGTCGCCCAAGACAGCGTACAAGAACCGGGAAGCCTGCGCTGAAACGTCAAACATTTTTTGGTCAAGTTCAACCGGCGCAACAGCTGAAAAACGTCTTCAGGAGCGAGAAAACTGACAATATTTTTGATATTTCAGCTTTCAATATCAATGAATCACTCATTGCTGCATCGTCATCTACACTGGTTGATCCGGCAAGTGAAGTGCTGAATCGCGCATTGCAGATGAATTTTTTGCAGCGTGCGCATAATGAAATGTTGGTTGCTGAAGTAAAGTCTGAAGAGGATGACAGTGATGGGACAGAAAAAGCAAATAACCTTTTAGCATCTTTAATTAGTTCTGAACCAGCGTTACGTAGTGGTATAACGGTTTCGCAGAAGAATTCCAATGTTGAATTGTCGGATAATAACGTCGAGGACACCGACGATTGCTGTTCAGAGTATCAGACCATTCCGAATGCGTCAATGCTTAATTCGCTGCATCCTCCAAGTACTGTCTCTTCGTCATCCAGTCTTGATTCTAGTGCGATTATGCCAGCTAGCCGAAAACGTCGGGCAGCTTCTGAAAAGCAAGATTTTGACTGTCTTGTAGATGAGTATATTGACCGGTATGTGATCAATAACTGGGATTTACCTGAAAATAATATGGGTTTGCTATTATTTCTTTCTTTCCAATTTCATTTCTGTAATATTCCTCGATATTTTAAACTGTAGTATCATTGATGAACAAGTCAAGGAGAATATGAAAGTTGAACG